TCCTTTCTTTAATGATTATATTTCACCCTTTCTTGATATTAGTGTAACTCTTGTCTTGCAGCGAGTTGTCCCACAGTGAATTGGCCTTGACAAGTTGTCCTGTTGGCCAGTTGGGTGTGATGACATGGCCACGGGCAAGTTGTCCTATACCCTCTGCAGATAGACTTGAGCTAAACCTGAAGAATTAGTTTTTGAGAATCTTCTTAGCAAATTTATGGTCTAGGGCAGGGGTTGGCAACCCATGGCTCTGGGGCTGCATGTGGCTCTTTCATGCCTCTGCTGTGGCTCCCTATTGCCGGTCGGCTCCACAATTGATAAGGCTTTCTGTTAAGACAGGTAGAGGGAAAAAGGAAGCCGTACTAGGAGGAGTCTCTAGGGTGGGGGGAACTGGACTTCCAGTCAGCAGAGGAAAAAGGATGCTGCGCTAGAAGGAGAGACTCTGTGGTGCGGGAACAGGATATCCGGTCAGCTACAGAATTGAACAGGGGGCTTCTGGTTAGGACCTTTGTGCCTCTGAGTATTTAAGGTTGCCGACTCCTGGTCTAGGGCTACTTCCACATCTGAACTGCATGGCTGCCTCAGACAATTTTAGTGAGTTTTTCTCTTCAGGAGAAGAGCTCATTTCTACAGGGACATCTATGCCTTAGGAAAGTCAGGAGACAGTTGGACAAACCAACCATTCCATTGAAAAACCAAGCATCTGCCTCAGATTATCATTACATATAAGTGTTAGCAAGAAGACTGTGTTTCTTAGAAACTCCCGTCTCCAAGTTTCTCCTTGGAACAACATGAAAAGTGCCATTGCATTTTGGGGTCCCCCCCCCTCTCGTTTTGCAGGATTGGGATATACTAGCCGACTTGTGTGTTCAGTGCTAGATTGGGCACAACTCACACAGAGACAGTGGCTACGTTTTCAGAAGACCTTTAATTACTTTGGCCCCGTCATGTGGTTCTATCATACAATGACATTTTACAATAGACGCAGTTTTATTTCCCAACAGTTTGATCAAAGCTTGCCGGGGGGGAAAAAAGGAAAATTGTGTGCTTTGTATAAAAATGAAGGACCTCGTTGTCATTGGTGTTTTAATTGCTGTCTCTATTCTTCTGAACAAGGCAGCCACCAGGAGACACAAGGCGTATTGTGGGGGCTGCGCAGTTCCATTCTCTGACTATGGGCAATCAACTTCAGATGTTCCCATAATTGAAAAAGTCCTTCTCGTTCTTTTCCAAGCCTAACAAGGCCAGCCCCCACAATGCCAGAATGTCTCTTCTTTCTTGTTGTTTCAATTAAAACCAAAATTCTTGGAAATCTGAAAGGGATCTCGTTTTATCCGAATTTGTATTTGTGGTTCCCAAGGAAGAAAGGGAATGCCCTGCTGTTGATTTTCATTATGTTGTAAGAGAAACAGCTTCTTGGAAATTCATAGAAGAACATTTCCAAGCTTAGCTTCGTGGGCGATTGAGCAATCCTGAAATAAACGTTCTCCGTGTTCCTAGACTGCAAAGTGCCTGGACTGGTTTTTTCAAAGACAAGAAACAATGGATGGCTCCAGGGGTGAAAGGCTCTGAAGTCTGCTACCGGTTCACTTCAAACGTGCGCTTGGCGTGCATGTGCACCGCAGGCGCTACCACACAATGCTGAAAAAGGAGGATTAAGAAGCCTTAAGAAGTCTGCAAAGGTAAGTAGAACAACGAGGGGGGGAGGGAAACAACTGTGCCGTACGATCTTGGTTCTCTAGGAAGCAGGATTTCCTGCTTATTAGCAAATATAAATCACGTGGCAAAGCTGATTGTCATACAGGTGACTACCGGTTTGCTCAAACTGGTAGCATTTTTTCCCTACCGGTTCAGGCAAAATGGTCTGAACTGGTAGCATTTTTTCCCTACCGGTTCAG